ATATTGGATGACGTCTCGAAGCTCGATGTCCTCGGGGGCGTCCCCAAGGGTTGGGTCAAGCTCGGCCAAGGCGTCCTCGTCATACTTTAGAGAACTGTAGCGCCGAGAGAATGGCGCTCCAGGTCGAGCTGGTCGGCGAAAGCGGCCGGCGAAGGAGGATCGACTGCGAGTAGCTCCGTGTGACTGGGTGGCGATGGTGATGGATCACGAAGAAGATGGGGTATCAGAGAAGCGACTCCTCATCGTCTGGTACTGTCGAGCAGCCTTGTAGGCCTTCTCTGAGGAGGCGAAGCTCTGTCGCCAGAGCTCGATGAGGTAGTTAATCAGCAGACTGACTACGAACCTGTTGGTCAAAAGGACCTCAGGTAGAAGTGCCTCATCGCAAATGAGGCGGGCGTCCTGAAACACTCTAATGTGACGTTCAAGATCACCTGGTGCAGAGGACCCGTGCCACTATGTCTGGGTGACCCGATCTAAGGCATCAGTCGCATCGTGGAGAGTGTTGTAGCGGTCATGGAGGAACGCGGTGAAATCCGCGAGAGTGGGATCCTCACCTGAGCGAGTACGATGGGTATAATAGTTCTTCAATGTGGAGAACGCGCTACCTCGCAATTTAGTTGTGAGCGCGGAGCACCACAACTCCTGACAAGTGTTAGTCAATGTCAGCGCACATGTGGCAGCCTGCAACCAGTGTGACACCCGCATAGTACCATCGAAGTCGGGTATGTTCGATAGACGCATAAGGATGAGACCGTTGTGTTGACAACGACGGGATAAAGGTCGAGGGGCCTGCACTGCGGCGACAAATATCAAGGCTGATGCAGACGTGGAAGTGGTAGCAGGCTTAGAGTCGGGGCTGCTGGTGGACGGTCCAGCGGACGTGGAGGCAACCGTCGCAGCCAACTGTGACGGAGTAGCGACGTAGTAGGGTAGAGGGGGGGGAGCCGGTCAAGGGAAACGAGCCGATAAGAAATAGGTGGGAGGGGCGGTATAAGAAGAAGAAGGGTGAGGCTGTCTCAGGGATAAACTCTCCGCCTGGAGCTGCGCCACGGTGACATGTAGGGTAGCCACTCGTTGGGCGTGCGGGGTCGCAGGTGGATGGGGTAGAGAGAGTACCCTAGCGGGAGGAGGAAGAATTATGGGCTGTAGTGCCACGACCGGTGCAGGAAGTTGGGAAGCAGCACCGGGATGGGTAGATGAAACTGCCTGGCCAGATACCGGTATTTGGGCGACAACACATGCGGCAGTGGCCGAAGCGGCAGGGGCGGCGGGAGCGGCGGGGGCGAATGGATGTGCCGCAACAGACGGTACGGTCTGAGCGACAGCAACACTCACCGCTGCGGAGGGGGAGTGTTGGGCCTGGCCCGTGGAGGAGGACGAACCACCACGTCTCCGTCCCTGAAGTTGTGGGGATCCGGACTTAGAGCCGGTAGGGGATGGGGTCTGAGAGAGGTGGGGAGAGCGATGACGAGAACCCTTAAGGCGGTGAACTTCAAAAGCGAGCGCATTGACTTGCCTCTCTAGGGGTGCAAGCGCATCGAATCGCGCTTACAGAGGTGCAAGGAGAGACTCAAGAACAACGCGAAGGTCCGTGGAGTACTCAACGTGCTGACCCTGGACCGTCGGGTGGGTGGATGCCTGAGAGGTGACGGCGCCACGACAATCTCATCAGTTGTAGCCCTGTCCGTGGGCGGTGAAGGAAGAGAGGTAGACATGGTGGGAGGTGGGGGGAGAGATGGGTTGTGGTATGGGAACAGGGGATCACCGGTGAGAGGGAGGGGACGGCGAGAGCGGAGTGGGTAGTCGTGGGTCGGCTCGCCCCGTAACCAGCGGGTCACGCGTGAGATGGTGGCGCGAATCCGGTTGAGGGGAGAGGAGTCGTTCGGGTCCAGGGTGCCCAGCGGGAGGAGGCAGGATAGTAGCGGGGGTTAGGAAAACCCTAAACCCTGAAAAAACCCTGAGAAAACCTTAACCGGGGTTTGGGTGGTTAGAAGAGGGTAGCGGCGACCTAATCAAGAAAAAAAAATAATAACCATGGAGGGGAGGGGGAGAGAAAACAAAGTAAAGAATGAAATTTTGAGATAAATAAATAATAAAAATAAATAAATAAATAAATAAACAAAATGTAAGAAGATAAGTGATATTTATTTTTTTGAAATTTTCAACAGCATTTTCTCACCCCTCATAGGGTCAAAATGCCACAAACTATAAATTTTAAAAAATAAATAAATAAATAAATGGGGGGATGAAGAGTGAAGAGAAACTAAGTGTTGGATTTTTCAAAAATTTTGGCGGCATTTCGTTACACCCATGGGGTCGAAGTGTGCCGTCAAGAAGAAAAACCAAGTAAAATGAGAAGATTTTGTCAGCGGTTTACTATCCCCAAGGGGTCAAAATGTGCTAAAAAAGACTAAGTGAAAGAAAAAAACAAAAAAAATTGGCGGCACTTCGTTACCCCCACGGGGTCAAAATGTGTGCCGAAAGCAAAAATGACTAACTCCTAATCAGATTTCAAGGTGCCACAAAAAAAATGCGAATTTTTAGAATAAATAAAAAAAATAAAATGAAGTAAATCAGAAAATGAGAAAAGAAGGTGGGGAATAAGATAATTCAATTTTTTGGAAAAAGAAGGAAATATAAATAAAAAAGAAAGATAAGAAGAAGAAAAACAGAAATTTTTAGAAGTTGGGGGGAAAGGGGGATGAAAAAGTAAAAAGAAAAGAGAGAAATAGGTGAGAAAGAGAAAAAAAGTGAAGGGGGAGATGGAGGAAATGATGGGGTTGTGGTTAGGGGGGGGGTAAGAGGGAGAGGAGGGTGGTAGAATGGAAGAGAAGGATACAGAAAAGGTGGAGAGGAGTAGATGAGATTAGTAGAAGATGGTGAGTGGGGAGGAGAGGAGAGAAAAAGGTTGTGGCAGATGAGTGAAGAGGGAGGTAGGAGGAGAGAGCAGTGGTAGGGTTAGAAAAGATGATTAGATGATGGGGAGGGGGGAGAGAAAAGGGGTTGGGGGAGAGTAGGTTAGTGGGTAGGATGGTGATACCGAGCTTTTGGGTGGCCAAGAACAGAGCTCTACCAAGATCCACAGGATCTTGGCCTTCAAGATGCTGCTGGCCTGATGCCACTGCAAATAAGAAAAAAATGGGGTGGGCTGAGATCTTGATCATCCACCCAGATGTCACTGTAGTGCAGCCCCCTAGCTAGGGGGTCTTCAAGATCCACAACAAGCTTCCACGTGGCACTGCAGAGAGGCAGCACATGCCAACCACTGTCTCTTATACACATCTAGATGTGTATAAGAGACAGCCGCTTTCTAGGGGGTTCTTCAAGATCCACAACAAGCTGCCACGTGGCACTGCAGAGAGGCAGCACACAGCCACGTGCGCAGGCGGCAGCACCCACCACCCGGCGGGGGGGGGGGGGGGGGGGGGGGGGGGGGGGGGGGGGGGGGGGAAGTAAAAAAGTTGCCGGCCAGCCCGCTGCTCGCCGCTCGCCGGGGGGGGGGGGGGGGGGGGGGCAAATAGCTGTTGTGCCACCTCTTCAACAGCAGCAAGCCACAATATCAACTCATACTGTGGCATTGGTCAATGTGTTAAGGAACCGGTCACACACACGCATGAGCAGCAGCTGCCCAGGTTTAAACCCTGACAGCTGCAGCATCCCGAATCTTGATAATAATAATCCGGGAGCGGAGCGGGTCGGGGCGGGGCAGCGTAGGCGCGTGGCGCTCGCGCGCGTGCGGCGGCAACATCCCGAATCTTAATAATAATAATCCGGGAGCGGGGCAGGGGGGGGCAGCGTGGGCGCGTGGCGCGCGCACACGTGTGGCAGTCTTGGCCTTGGCGCTTTCGCGCACACGTCGTGACGGCAGCTCCTTTTTTTCACCACGTGTCATCCTCTGCACGCTCCCGCTTTTTGCCATTATTTCGCAGTTTTCGCTCTGCAAAACCTTGAAAATCCCACTATCGGGATTACACCGATTTCTCCCTGTTACGGGAGGGTGGGCGGGTTGGAGCGGGGACCGTTCCCGCTCTGATACCAATCAACAGAAAAATTGTGGCAAATTTTCTGACAGGATGATCACTTGTTGACACCACATTTCAATCGTTGGAACTGTGTTTATAAACTGTTTGACGGGGGGGGGTCATGTGTTCCACCAGAAGTGAAGGAAACCAACACTGACCAAACATTGGGAAAACTGAAACTTGTGTGTCCATTTGTTGGTCCATTTGTTGAAAGGATGTTGGTCCATCTATTGACCATTTGTTGACAACTTGTTGAAAACTTGTTGAAGACTTGTGGAGAACTTGTTGAAACGTGTTGAGAACGTGTAGAAACGTGTTGAAAATTTGTTGAAACGTGTTGAAAACTTGTTGAAACGTGTTGAAAACCGTTGAAACATATTGAAAACGTGTTCACCTTTCGTAGAACGTTACGTTCTGTATAGGGGGGGAAAATCGATATTTTTGGCTCATGTCGTCGGTTTTCGCGGTTTCTCCCAGTCATTTTCTCCTGCTGCACGATATGATATGATCTTTCGCAAATGTCAATCGTTGAGTCTTTGCGTACTCCTGACATGCAACGACCACAATGACTGAAGATAAAGAGAGAGGGTCACAAAGAGAGAGAGAGAGAGAGAGAGAGAGAGAGAGAGAGAGAGAGAGAGAGAGAGAGAGATGGAAGCAGGGTTCACTACCGCGTGACACAAATTCACCAACATGGCAATGCGAGACAGACATTGACCCGTAGTAGTCAACCTTTGTTTTTGATTGGTGCTGGATTGCGGTATTTCATTTTGCTGATGGACGCGTGAGGGCGCGTCGATGAAATGCTGAGCTGCCCTGCTACAAACACGGTTCACTACTGCATGACACAAATTTACCAATTCGCACTTGCCAAATTCGACAGCTCGTTTCAACTGTAAGTTCATCACAGCGATATCCTTGCATTAAAGAAATGCCATCACTTTGCGCCGTCACCACGTAATCGTTGTGCAAGAGGAGCAACTTCAGCACATTTTGTTCACCTTTTTTAAATGTGTTGTCGTGCCTCACCAGTTGTCGGTCAATGGAGGGTGCGTCGGCTGCGCCTCCCTCGCCGCCACTTTCGGGTTCCCTCGTGCGTCGCGTTCTTCCCGGAGATGGGGAACTCCCTCTTCCGTCCGCGCTTCTGTCGTCTTCGTCTGCCCCGTCACCGCCCTCTTCCTGCGCTGTGTCGTCGTTGCTCCTGCCGTCCTCGTCACCAGCGTCGTGAGTATCGCGAGAATGTCCGTCGGAAGTTTCACTGTCACCTCCCTCGTCACTTGTTGCCTCGTTCTCCTCCCTGTCAGACTTTTCTGATATGGACTGGTCGTGTTCCTTTTCTGCTTCCTCTCGGGCCGCGCTGTGCATATCGTCTGAGGCTCTCAGATCGATCATCTCCACTATTCGGTCCTTTTTATACGTGATTCTCTTCTTTGTCCTGCGGTGCACCTTTGACGTTCCGTCTTCCCGCGACCTCTTCTCGGGGGCCTTGGGTGGACGGTTCTCAACGCCGCTGGCACGGTTCCGTGGGGCAGGAGTCACAGGGGGTGACTCATTATGTTCTTTCAGCTTCGAAATCCCCCTCTGACTTGATGAGAGAGAAACTTTTGATCCGTTTCTGCAGCTGCTGGTCCGCTCCGTTATTGCATTTTGGGATCCGCTTCTGCGATGCTCTCTCCTTTCTTTTTTCTTATCAGCCTTGCATTTCTTCCTCCCCTTGTCCTTCTTTCCCACAGCTTTCAAAGACCTGCACAGATCCTCGTATTTTGGCTTTGGAGCAATGATCTTTTTTTCCCCACATACATCAAAGTGGAATACGAACATTAACTGCGTCAGCAATGTCATACGTCGATCCATACACCCCTGAAGTGTAATGGCAGCATTGAGAGAGAGAGAGAGAGAGAGAGAGAGAGAGAGAGAGAGAGAGAGAGAGAGAGAGAGAGAGAGAGAGAGAGAGAGAGAGAGAGAGAGA